AGTTCGTGCTGCGCTCCTCCACCCCGCCAGGGACCGAAGTCTAGAGACAGCCGTGGTGTGTGTAGTTCACCCCCCGCCCCGCACTGCCCCGCACGGAACAAAGTCCGCAGAGATCCCAGTGCGGAAAGCACTCCTGGAGGGCCTAGTGGAAACGCAAACCGCAGGGCGACCCAGGACCTAGTCCTTTCGTTTTGGCTTCTCAGGGAAATGCCATTGCCTCTGGTAAGACAGCATCACAGCAGAAAGCCCAGTCTCCCCGGGCTCCCTCGGAGGCGCCGCCGGAAGACGGCCCAGGAAATGGGAGACGCAGGCACTGGAGTAAAAGGAATTCTGACGGACACCTCTTCCCGCCCTACGCGGCTCCAAGTCCGCTCCGCGCGCATTCCCGCGGCCCGCGCCCCCGCCCCCGCTCCGGCCTCCGCGGGGCAGGCTTGGGCCGGGGCTCGGGTCCGGGTCTCTCCTCGCCGCCCCCACTCGCTTAGCCCGGGGTGCGGGTCTCCCCATCTCTCCTGCGCCCTCGCTCTTCCCAGCCCGGGGTGCCCTCCCCACCATCCCCGAGCCCCTGGGCCGGCTCTGCAGCCCGGGCCGCCCAGCCTCCCCTCCCCCGCTTTCTCCCACTTGTTGCAGCCCGACCAGGAGACTGGCTTGTTCCGCTGGCTGATTGTGAAAGGGTTTGACTCGCAGCTGACCCCGGGTCAGGACTTTCTCTCTACTAATCCTGCCCTCTTTAAACACAAAAACACTTTGCCCTCTTCCCTCGCATCAGTCATCTTAATCCCCCCGCGGCTGACACCCCGCCTGGCCTCCGCGTCCAGGCTGCACCCAAGCGAGTTGGGGGCGGACGCCTGGGCCGCAGGCTCCAAAAAGGTGCCCGGGGAGGCCCAGGCCCCTCCCGCGCGGAGCTCACGGGGACGCAGCCGAGGGAAGGTTGGTGACGGGCAGCTCCCTGGTACCTGCGGACCCTGACCCGAAACTCAGAGGGAGTGTCCTAGGGCTTCTGCTGGAACCACCCGCGGCCGGGTCTCAGGCCTTGGGGGAGACCGGAGGCGGCGAGTAGGACAAAGGGAAGGCTGGAGCCGCAGGGAAGGGGGAGGAAGACGCCGGAGTCACTGAAGGGAGGAAGGGAGAGAAGTAAATAAAGGAGAAGTGAATGGAAAACGCGACTGGAAGGGGAAGCCAGGAACGTGGAAAGTAAAATAATTGAGCGGGACGAGAAGCGGAGGGCAGGAAATCGCCCCCTGTTCGGGGATTAACTACGAACAGTGCCAGCGAAGGGCGCAGTGGAGAAACCGGGGGGTGGAGCGGGGGCGGGGAAGGAGGATGGCGGCCGCCCCCGCGGGGACGGGACCCAGGACCGGTCCCGGGCGCAGGACGCCGCCCGCCTCCAAGTCTGTGGGTTCCCGGGGGCGGACGAAGCGGGGGCCGGGAGGGCGCGCAGCTGGAGAAGAAGGGCCAGGAGGATGGAGTAAGGGAGAGAGGGAGGAGAAGGAGGGGCGGGAAGGGAGGCAAAGGAAGGAACGTAGCGGGGGCGGGGGGGACTCCGCACCCCTGGTCCGGCTGGGGAGCAGGGGCCGAGGGCCGGGAGTTGAGGGCGAAGGCAAAGGTCCCTGCTCGCCCGCCTCCGGGGCCCGGCTCCCTGCGCCAGCACCCGCCGGCCCTCGTTGGGCCCTCCCGCCCTCTGACCCTCAGGACTTGGGGAGCGGCGGGAACCGGGGCCCACCTTCCCGGGCTCCTCGCCCCAGGGAGCCCGCGTCCCCCTCACCCCCCCTTTCTCCCCCGGCCTTTCAGTCCCGCCAAATAGTCACGCAGAGAAAGCGCTGCGCCAAGGCCAAGTCTGCTTTTCACTTGAAGTTTCCAAGGAATCGAACACATTATTACATTCTGCTAGCGACGTATCTGGAGCCTCTGCCCAGCCCGCCAGGCTGCGGAAGCGGGGTGGGAGCGCTAGGGTCCGCGGGCGACGGCGCGGGTGCCGGAGCCCGAGCCCAGGCCGCCCTGGAGCGCGCCTTTCAGGGCAGCTGCCGGAGGTGGGCTTCTCGAATTAACCAGAATTTTCCAGAGACCGAAACCGGCATTGCCCAGTCTTTGTGGTAAAATGAAATGAGTGAATATGCGTGCTATTCTTCTCCCACATGCATGATTTTAATAGATCTATCAGTCACGCTACCGACACGCATCTGCAGAGCAGGCACGCGGTACCTGCTTCTGGTGTTAAAAATTAATTCATTTCATCTAAGCACTGGTGGGTGTCTTTGGCAGGGGGTAGGGGGTGGAGGGTGGTTCAAACTCTTAACAGCAACAATAACGACAGAGGCCAAAGAGTTTCTTGTTTTTTGTTTTTAAGGTGAGGCTGGTGGTGGGTAAAGACACTGGAGAAAAACCCCTCAAGCAAAATCCTGCTACTCACAGTCGAGAGAAGTGGGCTGCGCGCGCCATTCCCGCAGTTGTGCCCGCAGGAAGTTATGCAAACTTTGCACAAGGCCCCCAAATAGCACCGTGTGCATTCTTCACACGTTTTCAGACAAAATCGAAACAAGCCACAGAAATGCCACCCCGTGGTTTGGGAAGTGACAGAAGCCATCGTATAATAATTAGCATCCTCTAATATTTCATTTCGTGAATATGGTGTGGAGTACCTTGGCAATAACCGAACTCACAGCTTGGTTCTCTAGGGGAATAAATCCACGAGTTTAAATTGGAGAAACATGCTGGAGTGGTAGGATCTCATCCCCCAGAGAGGAGTCCTAGCGAATCTCAACTCCCCCTGCCCATATTGTTTTAAAAGTCATTAAAGAATTTGTTTTTATCTATGTCCATCTAACCAACAAAATAAATTTGCTGAATTTCAGGAATTCTTATTTTACGATCTCCCTGGGTTTTTAATAAAGTAACTTGGGGCACCTGCATTGACTGTTTCAGCTGACTATGTATGAGGCACTTACGGAAAAATGCCAAACTCTAAGTCCACCTTCTGGGAAGTTAACGGGCAGCTCTGCCTGGAGTTCCTGGCATCCTCCTAAACTGTTTCTGTCTAAAACATTTCAAGTGTGGCCCACATTACTAATATGAGTGATAAGATAGACTCAGGTGCCAATACTTGAGAATACATACAAACTTGGGTTTACACGGAATGTGAGTGCATGGCCACACATCCGCCTGCCACTTGAGTTAAGTGCACGGAGAGGTTGAGGTTGGGAGTTTGAAAGACTAGAGATGGCCCATTTAACTCTGCATATTTCAGAGTAAATGTGGTCTGGCCCTTCACATGGCTGGTGAGTTAACAGGGCATCACAGAAACTCTCAAAGCATCTCCCCCAGAGGGGCCTGTGTGTGACATTTACTCCCAGACCCTCTCCTGGCTGTTCTGCTTTAGCAACCCATACACACCCAAACACGGTCAGGAAACAGTTTCACAAAGGACCAGATTGCTAAAGCAGAAGGGGGAGGGGGGGCTTTATCATCTTGTTTGGAAGAAACAGTCGACATGTTTTTTGAAAAAATTTGTAATCACTTCAAGGAAATATGTGGTTTAAGCAAAAATATCAGAATGACTCCAAAAACTTACACATGCCCATTGTTAGGTTCAGATTTTACTTAAAACGATTCTCAGATGCAGGCTCAGTTTGGTTCTCATTGACCCACCACTACAGGCCTATTTTTGGATGGATATTCTATACTCATTCCAGAATGAGAAAAGATGTTGAGATAATGAGGGGGTTGGTGAAATCAACATATTTTGATCTAGGCTAAAGGTTTCTCTTTTCACTTTTATGCTGTGACTAATTTCAAAACGTATTTGCTACAGGATAACTTTTAAATGCAATATTTAATGCTGTCAGATTACTTGAAGACAAAGTTTTACAGAAAACTTTAAATTCCAGAAAAAAAAACTGTAATGTACCAATAAACACCTAGAAAAAATATAATTAAAAAATTTAAAGCATCGAACAACCTCAGATCTCATCAGGAATAATAAACACCGCGTTCTGTGTTCACACAGGTTAGCAACTCGCATCCCAGTTCAAGGCGAGGTTGGGGGAGTTGGCCGTGTGTGTGTGTGTGTGTGTGTGTGTGTGAGAAAATCCGACAAAATTATTTTGCTGCTTCCTGAGGAGAAACAAGCCAGAGGGAGGGGCTGAAGAGGGACCAAGGGGGCTGATTACAGTACATTTTGGTCCAGAGATTGTGTTTCCTTGAGCCAAATCTACATAAATTCCACCGGCAATCTTTTTAGTTGCAGGGGGACGGGGGTCACTGGTGCCCCTGCCGTGGTCTTTTGTCACCCAGCCTTGGCCTGGTCCCACCACTGGGGTCTTCTCTCCGGGCGACTCAGATTGGGGCCAGCTAGAGGGTGCAAAGCCCACGGCGAGGAATCAAAACAGCCCCGCGGTGCCGGCTGGAAATAAAAACACACCAAAGGGCCAGGATATAAAATGGGTTTTTTTTGTAATTATTTCCTATTCTGTTTTAATACTGGAAACGCTACAAAATAATCTATTGATTTTAACTTCCTTATCTCCCACAGAATGAAGCCCCGTGAAAATAGTGCTCTCTCCCCCGGGGCTCCCCTTATTTTTAGTGCGTGCTGATAATTTCTCCTTCGTCAGATTTACTCATTGTATTTTGAGCTCATAAAACATGCATATAAAATTAGCACGTTTCAAATTTATGGGGGGAAACGAGTTTTTCTCTCTTAAATTTATTAATTCAAAACTCGATGCAATTTGAAAGGGGGTATCTTTTTCGTGCTTCCACATGAAAAAGACAGGCTTTTTAGGAAACTATATACATAATCTTAATACCCCTCCCCACGCCGAAACGCCTAAAATAAAAATTTCACAAAACATGTACAAGAAATAATTACAAAACAAAAAAAAAAAGAGGAAAAGCTCAGATACAGAAAAGTTTTACAAAACCCAGAATGGAACGCTGCCATCAGAAAGAGGTGGGGGCATTTCTTTGTATAAATTAACACCCCCCCCAAAAAACGGTAACAACTACAAAAAAACTTGTGTTTGGATCTGCCTTACTACATCGGTAACAAATGAGAACAGCTTCCGGCACTGGGTCCCCGGCAACTAAACGCCCTCAGGAAGCGATGCGGGATGAGAGTGAGCGCGCCGCGGAATAGGAAAGTTGGAGTCGCCTCTTGCTTGGTCTTTGTGTCCCCTTGAGCAAAGAAACGCTTTCTGCCTCCGTGGATGATAAATACTGTACAAAAAGTCTCAAGAAAACGCCGAAGGTCAGTCTGAAACGCACGACTGTGTCCACTTCTAGAGGTCGCCAGAAACTCCCAGGAAAGCGAATTGGGGGCAGGGGGTATGTGTCACCTAGTGTTCATCACCAGTGTTTTCCTTTTTACAAGAGTGTGGAAACGTCTATACAAAAGCAAGGCCGCGCTGGGCCAGGCCGGGTGCCTGGGGCGGGCCGCCTGCTCCTTTTCGCTCGGCGCCGGCGCGGGCCGCCTTTTCCCCGGCGTCCCTAGATGTGCGTCAGGGGAACCGTGCCGTTGACGCCTGCGCCCGCGCCCTGGTAGTGCTGTGGCAGCGAGTGCAGTCGGCTCTGCGCCGCGGCGGCCGCTGCAGCCGCCGGGTCACCGCCCTCGCCAGCCGGCAAGTACATGCTGATCATCTCTCGCAGGTCCCCGGGACACGGCGCCCGCGAATGCGCTGGGGCCGGCGGGCTGCCGCTTGGCTCCGACTTGACGAGAGAGCCGAGGGCGCCCAGGGCGCCCGACGACGCAGCCGCGGCGGCTGCTGCGGCCGCCACCGCCGAGTTCTGGTGCGCGCCGCCCGCTGCAGCTGCAGCGGCTGCAGCGCCGTAGGGGAGGCCGCCGTAGCCCGAGGGCGAGGCGCTCATGTAGCCCTGCGAGTTGGAGATGGGGCTGTACTGCAGCGCGCCCATGTCGTAGCGGTGCATGGGCTGCGGGTTGTGCGGATGCGCGTGCGGGTGGTGCGGGTGCGGATGCGCTGGATGCGCGTGCGGGTGCGCGCTGCCCGCGCCCGGGTGCTGCCCGTAGGCCAGCTGCGCCTCCTGCATCATGGCTGCGGCCGCGGCTGCTGCCGCCACCGAGCCGGGGTAGGCACCGTTGGCCCAGCCGTTGACGTGCGCGTAGCCGCCGCCCGCAGCGCCGCCGGGACTCTCGAGGCGCTGGCCCACGGCCGCCGCGCCCACACCCACGCCCATGGCCACGGCCGCGCCACCAGCGCCCGCGCCGGCCGCCAGCAGCCCGCCGGCCAGCGAGTACTTGTCCTTCTTGAGTAGTGTTTTAGTCTTGCGGCGCGGCCGGTACTTGTAATCCGGGTGTTCTTTCATGTGTAGCGCGCGCAGCCGCTTGGCCTCGTCGATGAACGGCCGCTTCTCGGCCTCGGACATGACCTTCCATTCGGCGCCCAGGCGCTTGCTTATCTCCGAGTTGTGCATCTTGGGGTTCTCCTGGGCCATCTTGCGCCGCTGCCCGCGGGACCACACCATGAAGGCATTCATGGGTCGCTTGACCCGGTCCTGGTTGGCCTTGGCGCCACCGCCGCCGCCACCGCCCCCACCGCCGCCCACCCCGGCCGGGCCTGACAAGTTCGTGGGGGCCTGGGCACCGCCAGGCGAGTGCAGGTCGGTCTCCATCATCATGCTGTACATTAGGGCGGCTCACGGGTTCACCGGCACCGCGCAGAGAGGGCCTGGAACATAGACGGCCGGGGAGGGGGAGGCAGGGAGATGGAGAAGGACTCAAAACAGAGCTAAACTTTGGGGTGGGTGTGTGGGGAGAGGTCTTAGCAGAGAAAAGAAGGCGGGGGTGGAGGCAAAAACAACAAAAAGGAGGCAAAAATACACGCACTCAGCGCTGGTCCGGCTCACAGGTGGAAAGTTTCTCCTCGTGCACGAGCCACTTGCCAAAGAGGGTGATGGCTGGGGTCGCGGTCCTCGCCGCTGCCCCAGCTGGGTTGCCCTCGGAAGAGCGGTGCAAACAGGTGCAGTTGTGGCCAAGTTGCAGCTCCACTTTTCGGGGCCAGAGCGATGCGCAGGGCCCGCTCCGGGACTCAGTGCCTCCTCCTCGCCGGCTGCCGTTGCCGCGCACGCTGCCTCCTTTCTCCTCCACTTGGTCCTCAGAGGCCTCCAACTCCGGGGCTGCAACTTCTAGCAGGGTGGCGCGTCGCGTGCGCTGGGCATGTGCGGGTCCCGGGTGCCTAGGGGGGAGCGAGGCGACGAGGGGGGAGGAGAGGGGGGCCGGGGGGATTACGGGGCAGCTGGGGAGGGGGCCGGGGGCAGCCGAGGGAGCGCAGGCGCGCAAAGAGGGCCGGAAAACCGGGGCCCCCAAGCCCAGGATGCCCGCTGCCTGCCCGGGGCGGTGCGCTGGAAGCGGAGGCGCACACGGGGCCGGCGGCGCGCGGGGCCCAGCAGCCATACGCCGGCCCGGGCTGCCATTAAATGAGCGTGCCGCGGCCAATGGGAGCTGGCGGCGGCGGTGATTTGCATGGCGCGCTGGAGAGTGACGTGAGGAGGGAGTAGATACTCTGGGCGCGGGCGGCGGAATGGGGAGGAGGGGAGAAAGGAGGGGGAACAGGGGCAGGAAGGAGGGGGGAAAAGGAGGCCAGGGAGGGGGGTCACAGCCACGCTGCTTCCTGAGCGCGCGCGGTGGCGGCGAACTCTGAGCTTACCCTCGCTTCTCTCCGCCTGCGCGCTCCGCACGATGAACGATTGGATTTAAAAGCAAGACGAAGATAGAGTCATTCAGGGATGGGGTGGGGGTGAGGATTACAACCCCAAGCCACTTTTAACTGAGCGCATCCTCGACCCAGCTCCTCCTCTGCCCACCCCTTCCCGACAACTCTGCCTCTGCCGCGAAAGGGCAAGTTTCGGACTGAGGCAGGAACCTCGCCTTCTGCTCGGCCCCAGGGTTGGAAAGGAGGGGCGCGACCTTGGGAGCAGGAAAGGCTGTCCAAGGTGCACAACTCGAAAGCACTCCCCCCACCATACACGAGGGCACTCTTGCGAGGCGTGGGCAACGCAGTTACTTCCCCTTGCCCTCCCATGGACGCGTGCTTCACCACCGCGTGTACTGAAGTTCTCCAGTGCCCCCTCTCGTAGGGAAGGCCTTCACAGTCCAGGCCCCAATAATTCCCATAACGGGGGAGCTATTTGTGCCGAGCTTGGCTCCATAGCATTTTTTTTAGCATCAACCCTGAACTTTCGTTTTTTGAGGAGCGTCTTTAAAGAGCCTGGCTATTATAGTTACACACTCTTCTCAATTTGGCTTCCTCCTAAAAAGGAATTTCTAGGAAGGTTGAAAACAAGATCTATCTGGACTCCAGTTACTTAACACCAGTTTTAAAAGTTTGAAGTCCTACAAGACAGAGGCAACCCGCGCTCTCCTGTGGAACATCTTCCACAAGCTGTTTGCCTAAGAACTGCGAAAACTGCGCGAATGGAGCGAGCCCCCCTGAAAGATAATCGGCAAAGTGTGGCCTGGGGACCAAACGACAGGCGCTCTTCTCCTGCGTTTTGCAAACGAAAGGCCAGGTTCCTGGAGCGACTGGGGCATCCACCTGCGGTTATAATTCATAAACCTCAAAGTGTCTTCGATAACACCAGTGCTCATTCGGTTTCCTGCCGAATGATATGAAAGTGACCCAAAGACTTCTGGCAGAAAATCCGTGGAGACCACCACGCCTCCTGCGTCCTGAGGGAGTAACGGGCATCTTCCCTGAGCACCGGAGGGGAAAGTGCTTAGGGGTGGCTGGGGGGCGAAGTGGGGCCTAACCAAAGACGATGACTGACCTTCTTGTAACAGAAATGAGCATATGATAATGACCGTAAGGGTAGTGATAAGGATGTGTAACTGTGTTGGTCAGTGAACACGTGACACCTCTTCTTACCCCCTCCATCATTTAAAAGAAATTCTGAAGGGGTGAATTTCCTGACCCTACTGCTTGTCCAAGGTACAGGGATAATACTTTCTTTCCTGTCAACTGCTATGATTATTACAGTAGCTTTTTTATTGCAAGGTTGCTACAGTATGCAATGCAACAGCAAATTGGTCTCTGCAGATTAAGCTGCTTTCATTTTGGGCTATTCAGCATTTAATAGTGAACTCATTGAATAGTATATAATTATATTAGAAAAGAAACGTCATTTCATATTTATTTTTCATTAAATATCTAGGCTATAAACTTGGTTTTCAAACTACCTTCTTATTTCAGCAATCCAGTTTGTTAAATCTTTTGATTTGTTCCTGTACTACCTCCAAATATCAGTTACATTGTGAATGAACAACACCACCATCACAAAGAGCAAGAATACAGTTTGAGAATGCTATAGGTCCATTTTTCCTCTGCTAATTTAGCAGGCGATGGGTGTGCATGAGATCCAGTGTTTCATGGAAAATCAGCAAGACTGAAATAAAGGAAATGGTTTACAAATTATAAACTATATTATCTACTTAGCAACTGAAAAATTTCTTTCCTCTGCTTTTCAATTTAGATTTTAAACCAAATAGCCTAAGACCCCCTGAAAATACTTTGTGTGAACCAGGGGTGGCACGTTATTTTCCATATCAATGGAACAATTTATTTTAGAAACGTCCCACCCTTCGGTGAGCATTGCAGGAATGCTTTATGTTGGGGGACTTGGGTAGCTGACTTTGAAATGGTTTAGTTTCTTTCTACATAGTCCTGAAAATTGTTTCCAAATTCAGCGACATTACCCTTGTTTTCTAGAACACCTAAGTAGGAAGTAAATGGGTTAGCCTTTTATGAGCTCACACGAGTGCATAACATTTGGGGCCCTCTCCGTAAGTCCCTTTCAGTAAGGAGATGCTCCCTGGGCCCACGCAGGCCCACACTATGGGTGCCCACGTGCCTGAGCATTAACACAGAGCTGCAGGTGTAACTTGTTGCCAAGGGGTAGATGATTGGCAGGTGCCGCCTGTGCCAATTAGGCAATGGCAGGGCACTGCGTGCCAGACCTCTCAGTGCCTTCCATCCTGGCACAGAGGTGGAAGCGTGTGGTATCAACTCCTGCCGCTAATGGCTTTTGGGAGCCTCAGTTTTTTTGCTCCTTCTGATCCCTCTCCCCAGTTACTCTTTAAAAATAGAGAACAGTCCAAAACTAGTTTGAAAAACACCTCTTCTCCCTTTTCTCTTTCTCCTTTCCACCCTGCACCAGGCTGGCAGGGGCCTCCTTCAAACGGAGGACTTTCTCAAAGGCCAGGCACTGGAGGGTTTGAAGACAGAGTATGCTAGTTCCAAGAAATGCCAGAGCCCAGACCCCTAGGGGAAGATTGCTTCACTGTTGATTGACAAAATTTGCTCTCTTGCCAACTTAGAAACTTCATTGTGCCTCTATACTCAAAGTGCCAAAGGAAAGATCAACTTCAGAAATGTAGATAAGTAAAAATGCTTTCTCTTCTTTTATTTCACTTGTGGGCATGATCCTTAAGGAAAATTCAGATCCAAGCCATTTACTGGAGGAAATTAAGTACATCCATGCATATGTGCACATGCACATGTACACAATATTTCCATACATGTGTACACATGTACCCACAGAATAGAGTATATGCATGCCTATACATGTGTATATACAGAATACACACATGTATATCTGTATACCCAGGATGTATGTATAGACACACGGGTACACACAAAAGACATGCATACACAGGTATGTAATATATTTAGGAGATACACGAGCCCTTGCCTTTCAAATACATTGAGTTTTCCACTTTAAATAAGATACTATTAGCTTAAACTTCCCATATAGAAGAACTAAAACTTTTGGGTTTTGCTTCCCCCACCCGTGTTGAGTCCAGGAGAAACCTGGGAAATAGAGAGCTCACCGGACAGAATCCTCTCCTCCCCACTAGCAGTCTTTAAATGAAGGGCAACTTTCAGGTACCTAGAGGTGAGTTTCAGTACCGGGGCCAGCCTCAAACTCCCGGCAAGCAGAGAGGTGGTCAGACTAGGAGCTCTGGGGAGGCAAAGGTCACGGTGGGAAAAACGAAGAAAACGAAAAACTCTTCCTGTCTTCCTCCACCTCGGCACAGACGGCCAGCCCTGGTGACACTCTCCCGGGAGAGGTGTCCCCGTGTGACCCTGCCCTGCACAGTTCAGCTCCAGGGGCTTCTGAAGACCCGTAAGTACTCGGGCCACGTGCAGGCGCCTCGGTGGACAGCGCAGGACGCGGCCTCGCAGGCTCTGGTGTCGCCCCAAAGGGCTGAAACCAGAGTTCTAGGAAGCCAAATCATTAGGGAGCCGCCAATTCTTAGGCAGGACTTTGGGAGAGAAAAGAGTGATCCGAACGAAGAAGAGGAGAAGGCGGCAAAGAAAGCGTAGGACAGAAAAAGGAGTGGAAGACAGTTCAATTGGAAGAGGCTTTCGAGGTCGTGTCGGCCGACCAGAGGGCTTCCTAAAGGAGGCGCAGAACAAGCAGAGGCCGAGGGAACGCCAGCCTGGGAAGGGACCGCGGCGCCAGTCGGGGTACCGGCTGGAGGGGGGCGCCGTGGGTAGAAGCGACGGGGCGGAGGCTGGGTCCCCTTCTCACCCTCGCCCCCCGCCGCCCCCGCCCAAGCTCAGCAGCACCACGTCGCGGGAGGCGGGGAGCCAGTCTGCCTGATTGCAGAGCCTCTGCCCAGGCCCCGCGCGCGTCTGCCCTGACGCAGCCAAGCGGGCCTCGATCGCCGTCTACTGGCCGCCGCTGCCCTCGCCGGCCTCGCGGAGCTGGGCGCCTGGAGGCCCTCGCTTTCAGTCGCCGCGCTCCTCTGTAGCTCCTGCAGCTCACCGCGCGCGTTGGAGGGTTTGAGCCCCAGGGCGCGCCGGTGATGGGCCTGGGAGTTCTGGGGGGGGGGGGGTGCTGGTCTCTCCCGGTCCCTCGGCTCGCTTGACACCCGCACCCCTCCCCCAGCCTTAGTCCGGAGGAAGGAGTCAAAGCACAAAACTTTTTGTTGTTGGTTTTTGTTTTAAAATAATAGCCATGGGAAAGGGGGAAGAGAGGCAGGGGAAGGTATAGAAAATCGCTTGCCCGTGTGGCACTTCGAGGGACATCTGTGGCCTTAGGGACAGCAGCAGAGCAGATCCTTGTAGCTTCC